TCTCTCTCTCAAAAGGTCATCAGCTCAGGAGTTCATCATCTCTGATTAAAGTCTGACCTTTGTTTGAGCGCGTTCGTAAGGAGTGTGAAAGTCAGGGATGGGCAACTAGCGGCCCGTGAACAGCTTTTAGATTGTTTTAAAAATTGCAAAAATGTATAAAAGTGTCTCAGTGGCRCTGAATTGGTTGTATTTACAAAGTTTGCCACAGGATGGCGCCTCCACCGCTAACGCCATCTTGTGCACACGTTCACAGAGTCCTCTCTCCCAGAGAGTAAGAGACGTTTAGCCGTGGCTAAGAACAAGATMGCATGTTTCAGGTGACAGAATTTCGAGGCAAAAGTGTATTCAGTCTGCTTATAGATGCTGTCTGCCATGAAGGATTTAATATAAGTCACCGCTACGTTGCACAAAGCTAAATATGAGAAGTTTACTGAAGTCACAAATACAGAAACATCGACTTTTTACCAGAACCATAATGATGGGAATTTGTGTTTTATTTTTATGTTTATGAGAACCCTTTGCACTGTAACAAGATAATTTTTCGTTAGTTTTGAGTGTTTTATATTCATATACATTAAATGAGAGTACAATTGTTATGCATTTGAGCATGAAATATGTTACGTCATATGTTGGTTTAATAAACACATACACAAACTTTTTAAAACAGCAGTTACGTATATTACATTTGTGTAAGTGTGCTTTGCCATGTGGTCCARTAGTGTCAACAAAATAAAATGTGGCACCTCCCATCGTTTGTTGCCCATCCCTGGTGCAAGTACATTGACTCACTTTATGGTGGTCACTTTTGCAGGAAAAAAAATTCTGCTGGAATAATTGGTCAGTGTGAAAGTGACATGAACCTTTGTGAAACCTTTGAGTTGTTTTAATTAGGCAACGGTTAGTTCAGATCAGAATTAAACTCGCAACCCACAGATTGTTCTAGTTCAAAGAGCAATCTATAACCGATAAAGTATTGATCCTTCGGAACCTCCCCCCCCCTACCCCAAACTTCCAACAATGATCGCCTCAGCACTATTTACCCGCTGAAGAGACCTTGTCAAATAATTCGACATCCACACACAGGCGAAACGTTCCGAATTTCAAGGAGATTGAATTTTTTTCTGCTTGAATGGGTCTCAACCGCAACCAAGATAAAAGCTCCTCATTTTTAGTCTTGAAAAAAAAGAAATAAAACCTCAAAAGTGTGTTTGTGTACTTGAGCATGGGGGTACGTGGCACTGCAGCACATCGACAACAAGCCTCTTCACACCCACAGCTCCTTACTTCTTTTGACTTCTTCTTTTCCACCAGTTCTTTGTCTGGTTCCGTTTCTTCCATCTCTCCCTCTCTCTCTCCACGTCAGAAATGTATTCATGTAATTAAGCTGCTAATACACCGTCAAAGAATTGTCTAATTCAGCAAGGAGGAATTAAAGGAATCTGGCATGAGTCATTAGCCAGTCGAGATGTTCTGTTCAGCGTTTTCAATAAGGGATCTGGAGAGCCATGAATCACTTATACGGCGTGAAAACACTCTCTGCAGCACATGCCCCTGTAGTTTATATTTGTACGGCGGTGTGTATATATATAGGCGTGCGCGCGCGTGGCGTTAATTGCCATTTGAGAGTGTGAAAAATTGTACGTGGGTGAGGTAAAGAGAAAACAATTCAATGCATATAATCCATCTAAACAATCAAGCAATGCAGTGAATTATTGTCCATTGTAAACATTTAGATATTCTGGGCGAGTGACTTAATTGCAATCAATGTTGCGAGCACAAAGAGGAAAGAAAACGCCTTCTGCATGAGAGGGAAGAAGAAACACTCAGTGCTCACATAAAGGCTGAACGTTAGGCAGGCAGACTGAAAACAGTTTTTTTTTTAAAATACAACAGGAAAATTCTAGCCTTCGCTAAATGCCTAACAGTCTGAACTTGAAGACGTTCCACTTTTCATTGATGCGCTCAAATTGGCCCATTTTTATTTATTTATTTGTTTTTTGATCTGCGGTGCATGACACATACAATCTACCTGTTTGCACCCACCGCTCATTTGCCTTTTAAAAACTCTTCCAACGAATGTACAAGGAGAGAATGTAGCTTCCTTTTTTTTTTAGATTTCTGATCAACCATCAGTTATCACCTCCTCTGGAGAAGAGTATAAAAAAAACAATGCTGGACGTGAGACTGGGTTTTCCAGGGGGAGGGAGGATGCTGGGAACTGGCTGTAGAGAACTGGCGTCCTTGATGAGCTCACTGTTTGGCAGCTTTAATTGTGCTGTTGCGTGACACAGGCAGGAGGGCGCCAAGGGGGCGATGGAGGAGTGAGGAGGGGGGGTGGGGGGTTAAGGTTCAAACCCGTGGTGCACCCAGAGATGAAGTGGGTAATTGAGTGCAGAATAAACACCGCCAACAACCTCGGAAGCTCCCCTTTTTGAAAAAAGAGAAAGAGGGGAAAAAAATAGTGAGAAAGTGTGTGTGTTGGGCAAGGGTGGGAGTGCGGGGGTGAGGGGGGAGGAAAGAGAAAAGGGTGAGACAGAGAAAATCCCATCTACCCTCTGGGGGGAAAAGCTGCTATTGAAAAGCTATTAAACTTGCATTTAGCAGGATTGATTGGAAATGAAGAGGCCTATTAAAAGAGAGGGACAAGAGGACAATAGTGCGTCTCTGGCCGCCGTATGTTGCCCTCTTTTCAATGTCTTTCTTTGCTGTGGAAGGAGGGGGGGCTGTCTGTTTAAGCGCTCCCACCAAGAGAAGCAGTTWAAGGGAGGTGGGATGGTTGAGGGGGGCTTAGCTGTGGCTGAATAGAACCGTCTTTATSTTCCTTCGCAACCCCCCTTCTATTCTCCACAGAGCAACAAAGACATAAAGATGGAGAATGAAGAAAGTTTTTTTTCTTCTTCTAAGTCCTTTTCCCAAATCACAGACACCCCACTTAGATAACCAACCAACTGCCTCCCCCACCATCCCCTTCCCTCCCGATGGATTTGTTACCTCTGGAGTGTTGCCATCTTCTCACTGCCAGTGGGATTTGTAATACTCGGTCTTTTAGCATAGCACCACAAAAAAAATAAAGTCAGAGCTCAGAATGCGCATTCACGCTGTGCGTTCTTGCATAAACTGTATGTATGTATGATGGCGAGCCAGCCAATCCGGAGAGACGCCGGCGCGCCTCGCTTAAACACAACAGCGGAGCGGCAGCAGGTGTCTCCGCTGACTTTCAGCAGGCTCAAACGGATGGTTCCCCCGGGAACTTTAATGGAGTTTTGATTGTTTAACATCCATTTTTACACACACACACATACCAAAAAGAAAGTGCATTGAAAGAGTGGCAGAGTTTGTTTTTTTTTCCCCCAGAAAGTGTGTTTGCTTCATGTCGGTGAGCATATAACCATATGGTCTTCTGAAACGGTTAAATAAGTTATGAGGTACTGCTGACTCTTCCTCTTAGGAGCCACATTCGAATGGAGGGGAAAGAAACAGTTTCACACGTCAGCCCTGTTCGTGCTGCTCAGCAAGTGTCAGCAGAAAAAGTGACCCGCCTCGATTAGGGTCATTTTACTTTTTCATGCCATTTACACTAAAAGTTATGTGTTATTAGGGCTGGGAGATATAACTGAAAAATATCTCAGTAAGTGTTTCTTATCAGTCAGTATCAATAATTATTGATTCGTTTTTTTTAACCTATTTGAAATTAGGACCAGGAATTAAAAAAAGCTGATTAATACTGCCAAACTGGTAATGTAACCTTTAGAAATGGGATATATGGTTCTTTAAAGGGATCTTGACGATTTGACCGATTTTGTCATAGCGCAGATAAAAAGAGCTGTTCAATTCTGAACGAGTTACGTCATCACGTACTTTCCTCCTCAGCTCCTGTATTCCACCCTTTTGCGCGTATTCTGTGAAAAAACAAAATGGGGAACGATCGTTTCTGTGGTAAAGGAGGAAAAAATAAAGATATTAAAAACAGAATTACGAATGTCTCTTTGCTGTCCACAACTTCCTATCGTTCATTGTGAGGAACCGTTCAAAAGATTTGGATTGTTTGCGAATGTCACATCTCTAGTGACCTTTATTTTTCCTCAGTTTCTTCTCGAGCTGTTGCACTCATTTTCTCCCTTCACTCCACGTCATTCTTTTTTATTTTGAAGCAGTTATGAGGAACTGTGGCGAAACATGAAACTACTCCATGCTACTCAACAGATTGTTGCTAGCTTACCAAAGAGTGAGTGAGTTGATGCCACCAACCTTGCTTACATCGTAAGAGGTCGAGCTACTAAAGCCTTTCCATTGCCTACACCCCCCAGAATGCTGTGTGGTTCAGTAAAATTAACATTCTATCAGATGTTAGCCTGGTTAAAACCAGACCCGTGTCCTTCGCTTTGCTTCGTACGAGGGTTCGGACTCTCGGCTATAGAGAAGTGATTCTTGCTGGAGGCGTGGCCTCTGTTCAAGTTTAAAATGATTGGATCAGTTGGCCGCGACTTATGTGTATGCCAGCTCCACTGTGAAGGAGGCTAAGCTAAGAAGCTAACCGGAAATTGTGTGCGCTGTAAACAACCCTACTGAGAGAAGAAAAGTACCGAGTCGAACGAGACGACTGTAAATGAGAGCTCCGAGCTTTGTCAGACAAATTTTAATTTGGAAGCCTTATCAACACGGACTGGCTTCATTCACTTCCTCCACTGCCATTGCTAAACTAACTAGCAGACACTGCGCAGAAAATCGACATTGTCGTTCAAAACTCCGCCTTCTGTTCTCTGATTGGCTGGACAAAAATTCTGCTGAATTAATCCTTGTCTCTGGGAGAAATCCCAGACGGAGCAGAGAAGGGAAACTAGAATTGAGCAGAACTGTGTGAGAAGGCAAGGGCCAGGCTAATCGGATGTTTCTTCTATGGACATTGATCATGCGTCTATCGCGATATTGTTATTTTTTTATCGCCCAGCCCTACATGTTATCTGCTTTTATTGTACTCACGTTCTTTTTTTTTCTCCTAGCAGCCACCCAAGCGGCCTACTTCTCCCAGCAGCCCCAGGACCAGGTGGTGGTGGCGGGTCATTCGGTGACCCTCCCTTGCGTCATTGTGGGCTACAGAGGAATGGTACAGTGGACCAAAGATGGTCTTGCCTTGGGTGGAGAGAGAGACCTACCAGGTACGATCACTAGCCTCGAATTTACCCTCCCTGAATTTATTGTCCGACGTGTCTCTTGTGTTGTTGCAATCAATGCCAGGTCTCATTAGAAATCAGTACCCCCCTCCCTCTGTCAAATCGTTGGGGTTTTTACACAAATGAATGGCAAGGGAAGAACGCTCCACTGACAGATCGGCCTACCGCTGCACACACCAAACTTTAATTTGTTGCTTAGCATTTTAAGAGTCTTGTAGCGAGGAGGATAATCAATTGGCTTTTGTCCTGCGCTGACATTTAAATGTGTAGCCGAGTAGAGAGAGGGAGAGTGGAGAGGCTTCTTCTTGACCTTAGCAACCCCATTTTTATTGTGTCTGTGTTTAAAAAGGGCAGTGTCCTCATCCTGCAGGTCCCACTCACGTGTTGCATGTTTCTAGTCTCGTGCTGCAACACAACACAATAACTCAGTGCCTGGCTCTGAAAGGTGCTGCATGCTTTCATTTGGGCTGTTAAAGAGCTTTTCCATCACCCCTTTCTTTTTTTTGTCTTTTGTTTGGAGCACAAGTCTGTTTATTTTTCCTTCTTTTTTTGTGTGGATTTGGATTGTTCATGTCTTACTCTGTTCTCTGTGCTTGGCTTCTTCATGCAGGCTGGACGCGTTACTCCTTAATGGGCGACCCGCTATCAGGCGAGCACAGCTTGCTGATCGATTCAGCGGAGCTGGCGGATGACGCGGTGTATGAGTGTCAGGCTACGCAGGCGGGGCTCCGATCCCACCGTGCCAAGCTCACTGTACTAGGTAAGATACACAGCTCACTCATGATCCTCACAGCCAGCCACCCCCCTCCCTCCCCGCCTCCATGCCAAGGCTGCAAGCTGGCAGAGGTCTGGGGGAAGAAGAAGGAAAGAAAAAAATCTGTCTTCCTCACCTAATGCTAAAGCATGATTATCGGGCAATAAATTGTAACAGTGTCTGTTTGCAAAATATCTGATGAACCAAAAGATGGATTTAAGTGAAACTCTCAGAAAGTATTTGCTGGATGCGTTTCTATAACAGATTAACTTTTAGTGACAACCCAATTCAACATGGCCACCCCAGCTAATCAACCTTAGCGAACACAAAAATGACTGTGCCTCAGTCAGTTTTGCAGATATCGAGCTACAATTTGGTGTGGTAGTAGCTGAGTGTGCTCCTATCACATGCTCTAAACGCTGACATGATGTTTATTTCAAATCTTGGCACGCACTCCATCGCTGAATGCCAGTTTCCTTCTAAATTTAAGTACAACACGAGCAATTCCAAAAAAAAAAAAAAAACGGATCAAGTTGAAAGAGAGTGGATAAAAATACTTTGGAGCTCATCTATACAAAGGATCTTTAAGAACATGTCAAAGGAAGATGAAGCAAAGCAAAAAAAATTTTAAATATTAAAAATAGGGAACGCCTCTTCTCTCAGWGGCGATAATCAAGACTGTTCAGGTCCAAGATAATGTGATTGCTGCAGTCACAAATGACTTGCATAGTCGCCTGAAAGTCCAGATCTGCACAGTTAGCACATTTCACAGTGAGCCATAACATCTATCAACCACAAAGGCGGCCTTTTTTTTTTTTTGCATTAACGTGATGTGAGTGATCTACATCTTCACACAGAGAAGTGGAGGGGAGAAGAGGATGAGAGAAGGRGGGGTCCTGCCTGGCGAGGATTAGGAGTGACAGATCTTGTGGGACTCCGCAAAGCACTGCTGGCATCTGGTGGCTTGCAGAGGAATATCACTCCATTAATTAGTCCGGTCGATAGTCCATAAATTACTCCTCTGGCAAATATTATCAAGAGGAGAGACTCTGAAGCTGCAAGATTATGACCATGAGAAATTTTTCCACCGCAAATCTTGCCCTGTTTGAATCTATACGTGGCCATTAAGGGAGCAGAGAAGGAAAAAAAAAAGAAGAGATAAAGACGCTGAATTCACTGGTGATTTGTTGGAACATTTGAACTGAACTACTCTGTTTGAAGTCAATAAATACCCCCTCTGAACGGCGAAAACTGGTAGTTTGAGAACATTATATGTGTGACACGGATATATAAATGAAATCAGCCTGCAGTTTGTGAGGCCGTAAGCCTCAAAGAGGAAGGAGGGGCTTTCCTGTGTGTGTGCATGTGTGTGTGTTTGTGTATAAATCAATGTGGCCAGATGAGACCAAAGCAATCCTGCACACAGTCAAAGGAGTCAACGGTGGGAGTGCAGTCAGGGGAATCGGCATGGAAATTAAAATCACCTAGCACTCGGATTCCATTAGTGTCCGTGCCGCCGCAACGGAAAGACCTCTGACAATTCAGATACACACAGTGAAATTGGTTCGGCGGCGGGTGCGAGAAAGGCCAGCACAAACCCCATGTTTACGCCTTCTCTTATTGGTTGGGGGTGGGGGGGGGCAGAGATAGACGCCTTCATCAGGGGTGGCACGCTTGGCTTGCTGGTGGTGCGTGCGAAACCATGCAAATAAATGAACAAATAAGCAATTCAGCTGCAACATTGCTCTGCAACGGTAGGAGCAAATAGAGTAATAATGTTAGTCCCAAGAAAGGAAATAAGGTTTGAGTGTTTCTCTCCCCCCACTTCTCTGAAATAACTGTTCTTGGGCTTTTCTCACGTCTAAAACCACATCTTGTTACCAGCGATTGGCGATATTGTTGCGTATTGACACTGAGCTAAGAGCAACAGCCAGCTCAATATTAGTTTCGCTCCAGTTCTTGTCTAAAATGGTCCTTTTTTTGGGGCTGTGTTTGTGTTGCTCTTCAGTTCCTCCCTCTGACCCCATGGTGGAAGGTGGTCCAGTCGTACGTCTCAAGGCCCACACGCCGCACAACCTCACCTGCCGAGCCTCGGGAGCCAAACCTGCAGCTGAGATCACCTGGTACCGAGATGGAGAGGTCATGGAGTCCGCAATTTATTCCAAGGTACACTGCAAATGGATGCATACATGCATTACCAGTTAATCACACCAGCATGGTTGCGAAATGTAGCAATGGGTAGAAAAGAATGGAAAGCATTTCAAAACAGGAACATTTGACAGTATATTAGTGATCTTGTTTCCCTTTATCCTTTGTCTCCTCTTCTATATAGTTTTTGATATTTACTTCTGCAGCATGTTTGGTGCTTTTTTAACCATTCATATGTCTAACTCTTCAGCTCACCAAGGCAATTCCAGCTTTTGACTTTTGTTTTTTTTTTTTTTTTGTGTGTGTGTCGTTCATGGTTTAATTTTCTCCATAGATATACATTAAAATGTGTAATTTCTTCCAAAAACATTGTTTACTTTAAAAATAATTTCAGCCTATTTGCTTTATTTGCATATTCCTATGCTTCTTCCAGCTAGTATTTTTCCTTCAAATATACTCTGATTTCAGGTTTAGCATTAGCTTTGAACCTTTTAGCATTCTGTTACGCTTGTAGTTAGCATTTTTCTACTTTTAGATAGTGTTTTACAAGCTTCGGTTATTTTAGCTACRGTACTTTAAACTTTTAGCTAGCGTTTTGCTGTTTTTAAATCACCTGGCTAGCATTTAGCTACTTTAAATTTTTAGGTACTGTCTTGAACCTTTTCTTTTTTTGCTAACATTTTTCTACATTTATATTTTAACTGTTGTGCAACTTTTAGCTTTGAGTTAAAATGTTTTCACGTTTAGCGTTGAGCTACCATTTTGCCACTTTTAGATGACATTTGGTAACTTCTAGCTTAAACTAGCATTTGCTACTTTCAGCTAGAATTTTGGTACTTCTACTTTTTTGGCTAGAATTTTGCTACTTTTAGCTTCAGCCTATCATTTAAATAGTTTTACCATTTTGCTAGTCTATTACTCCTTTTAGCCTTTAGCTAACTTTGTCTCTGAGGTTTTAGCTAGTGTTCTTTAACAACTTCAGCTTATTCAGCAAATGTCTTGTCTTTTCAGTACTCAGCATTCACGCCGCATTATTTTGCAGAAGACATTTCTCTAGTTTCTCTCGTTGTGCGACAACTCAGTCACTTTCACCAAACACATTTTCCTTTTTTTATTTTTCCTCATCTTTCACCCCTTTTTTTATCAGTTTTTTCTTTTTATCTATTGCCACCTTTTCCTTGTGAGATTTGTTCTCTCACTCTCTGCAGTCCCCCTCCCATTCCCTCTCACGCCTGACCCCCCACCTTCTTCTCCCATCCCCTCCCCTCCTCTCCACCTCCCGTTTGCTCGCTAATGCAGCGACACTACAGCATAACTGGAGCATGCCAAAGCTCAGACAGGCATGAGGGTTTCATACAGTAGAGGTTTCTGCAGAGAAGAAATCACCCACAACAATGTGGAGACACAATAGGAGGGAGGGGCGGGGGGGGGGGGCAGCAGAGCGTGAGCCGGCCACGGCTGGGAAAGTGTCACATCTTTCATGCTCTCTGACCACGCTAAACGACGCTAAACACCACGTTTAAGGAAGCCTGCAGTGAGGAGGAGGAGGGTATTAGGAATGGAGGGGGCCGGGGGGCTGATTGTAGATGTATCCGGAGAGGCAGCTTTGTGGCAAAGCAGAGAATTTCCATCGTTATTTTCAAATTTGTGGCAAGAGGGTTAGACAAAAGCTTTGTCCGAGTGAACGGCGATGACGGGGAGTGATGTGATTTGATCCAGCATAAAAATGCTTTTCGTGTCTGGCTGAGGAAGTGAAAGACCTTCTCCATTGATTCGGCTGTCAAGGGAAAAGGTTTATCTTTTCAAAGATGTGTGACACTTCTTTCTTACTGTCACCACCCCCTCCCCCCACAAATAAAAGAAGAAAAAAACAAAAACAGACACCTATCAATGAGGCTACTGCAGATTTATTTTTTCCTCCATTTCTTTAAAAGAATCAAAGTGGAGGAAGCAGCGAGCTTTATCCTGAGAATCCACACCTTTCTTCACTTAGAAGTATTGATTTCTTAGCAGTAAATAGATTTAAAAGATGATGACAAACAAGGAGCGCTGACGGGGAACACTCCCAGAAATGTGGAAACAGCACAATATCCCTCGCTGCATCGTAAAATATGTGATTTACCTGACGTGCCAGGGAGCAGAATAGCAATTTTAAGGCTTCGCACATGAAAAGTGAAAAAAAAAAGTCCTGCAGTGTCATGAGGTAGCGACTCGTTTTGTGCAACACTGGGCTGATTTCTGGTTTCGTGCTGCTCTTCGTCCTCCCCACTCTGCAGACGCCAATGGAAGACGGGAAGAGGGAGGCAGCTGTCAGTATGCTTCCCATTGTTCCAGAAGACAGCGACTCCGGACGCACCTACACCTGCAGGGTCCTCAATCCAGCTGCTCCCGCTGGACGACAGACATCAGTCACAATCAATGTCCAGCGTGAGTCCCACGTCCACCTGTCCAAAACTATCTCGAAATAAGTCCCAGAGTGCAAGCTATTTCTGTACAGTGTGTTGGTAAAGTTGACTTTTTGAGTCTAATATGAGCATTCTTTTGTTTCCAAAGACCCCCCTTCAGTGACGCTATCAGTTCAACCTCAGACTGTGACCGAGGGGGCCAAGGTTCTCTTCATCTGCTCTGCTTCAGCCAATCCCGAGATCACTGGTTACAGGTACACATAAGCTTTGGTCCCCTACTTTAAAAATGAACTCAAAAACCTACAAAATTCTACACAGTTGGCTTTAAAGTGCAGCATAAATGTGCACAGTCGTCGTCTTCGAGCTGAACGAGCCGCTCGATTGGCGGCGTTTGATTGGCACAAGCCTCGAATCGACTAATAACCGCTTGAATATGCACGGCTAATTGCCTCCCCTGAACGAATGTGGCAGTATAATATGATTTTCCGTGTGTCCAAGGTGGTCGAAAGGAGGAGTGCCCATCTCGGAGGCGAACGGGGACAGCCTCGAGGTGACCGTGGACTACTCGTACTTCACCGACCCCGTCTCCTGCGAGGTGTCCAACTCTGTGGGCAGCACCAACGTCAGCACGCTGGTTGATGTACAGTGTGAGTTTAACCGAACCGAAAGGGAAATATTTATTTGGAGCAGTTTTATTGAAAAGCATGAAACCTCAAAAGTTGTTTCCCCACCCCGTGATTTTGACTGGGCTGTCTGCTTCATAGTTGGTCCTAGATTGTTGTCGGAGCCTAAGCCGATGACCGTAGACACCGGGATRGATGCAGCCTTTACATGCGCGTGGACTGGCAACCCTCCCCTGACCCTGGCCTGGACAAAGCAAGGCTCCAGCGTGGTGAGGAAACACACACACACACACACAAAATGTCACTTTGTTTGAATGGAAAATCCTCAACACCGGTCCTCCAGAGAGAAACACTCACACATGGCCTTGAGGCATGAATCCCACATTCCCACCCCCACCCCCTTTGACACGTTCCTCTTTTGAGGCTGAATCTTCAACACCTCTCTCCGCGTGCTCCTCCCCCGAGGGGGTGAAAGCCTCTAGCAGACAGCCGTTTGTCCGCTGACAGATCCGTACGGAATAATCGGGCGTGCGTGACGCGCTGTCATAACTCCAACACCATCAATTAGCCAATCAGTCAGTCAATCAAGCAAGCAGCGAGCGAGCCGGAGTGCGCTTTCAAACAAACGCGGCATCTCGGCGACTCCGCTGCGCTTCGAGCCCGAACCTCCTCAAAGTCAGCGCWGGTTGCAACAATGAAACGTTTCCACCTTCGCTTTACTACACCCTGGTAAAAGTCTTTTAGCGTGTGCACCATTAAAGGTTCCGTCCCACAGGAGCCGCTCTCCTGACAACTAATATCATTTGTGAAGTTGTGCTGAAGAAAGCACCCCCATCACCCACCGCTGCTGGATAGAGTAAGTGATGCCGTCATCTCAAAGAAAGGAGTGCTTTCAGCCACTCTTAAGAAAATGCACAGGCATTTTTTCTAATCCACCCACTGCCACTGTCCCTCCCTCACACAGCAGCCGTGAGTAATGGATTAATTGGGTTACTCCGTAAAGTGTGTGCTGAAATAAAAAATAAAAAAAAATTGGAGAGGGGAATAAAAGGGAGGATGTGGAGATAGAGGGGGAGCGGGGGAGCAGAGTGGGAATAAATGGATTAATCACAGCTTGATGGAATGACAGGATCAATGAGCTAAGGAGTGAGTGAGTGGAGGAGCTCCGGAGGCCGGGGTGCCCACTCACGCACAGCGAGCCACGATCTGTCCCCACTGTTTAATTACAACAATCTCCCCAGCAGCACGGTCACTCAGCGGTGGCTGGAGTGCTTAATGCTGTGATTAAAGCTCCTCACAATGAAATTAAACTCAAACTGGCAGCATTTGTTACAATGGTCAGCCCACCTCGGTGCTGCCTCCGCAGTGAGGGGGCCCATTGATGAAGGTTGTGTTTTCCTTTTGTCTGCCTCTCCCCGTTCCTTCATTTTTTTCCACCCCTCACTCTCTTTCTAACACATTTCTCACTTGTCTCCTTGGATCTTACACCAGGTGCTCAGTAATGGTAACACCTTGCAGCTGAAGGCTGTTACCCAGGAGGATGCTGGGACGTACACCTGCAAGGCCATTGTTCCTCGGATTGGAGTTGCAGAAAGAGATGTCACTCTAACTGTGAAYGGTGAGTGACTTCTTCGGGGGAGGAAAAAAAATAATCACACAGAAACAAAAGAACTGTTCTTTGGTAAAACTTTGAAAATACTTACTTTTAAAATTTAATTTCCCACAGAACAAATGGTTTTTTTTTAAATCAAGTAAAAGGCATGGCAATCTTTGAAGGAATGCATATTGCCTGCTGCCATCAATGCCAGAGTTATAAACTAAAATAATCTAATGTTTTGGTCAAACCTTGTATACATTATGTACAATGTCACTAAGATCTCATGAWTATGTAGAAATTGRCTCTCATCTACTACCACAGCTCAGTATCTGTACAACTGAGTTAGCCATTTTTGAGTTTGCTAACACTAACCAGCTATGGCAGCCATCTTGAATGGTGTTGACCCCAAAAAAGGTACTTAGCTATGGCCGTACATCCAGATATAACTTGGTAAAATCTGTCTCTGTGTTTATTAGTTGTAGGTATCCACCAGCTAGATGCTCTCAGGGCAGTCAAGAGCTAAATTATAGCGCAGAGGTGTGTCGGGCTTTAGCAGAGGCAGCCCAACACACTCTGCAACAACCGAACCCTATCATATGCATTTTTCAGAATCTATAGTCTTAAATCCAGCCTATCAACTCACATTTTTAAACAGGCTTGTCTTTTTTTTAACGTGCARTTTTTAATTTGTTTTATTGATGCTTCTGTTTGTTCTTGACCTCTTGCGAAGCACTTCAGTCGACGTTTTTCCCGTTGTGCTTCGTAAACAAATTTGACATTTGAAATTTTGACATTTAGCAAACACTACAGACAAACACGCTCAAGCAATCCCATCCAAAAGCAAAAATGTTAATTATATTTACAAGATGAAGCATTAAATTTCATTTTGAGGGTCATTTTTAGTCATTGAAGTCAAACTGAATTATTTAAAATAACAAACGTTTCAACTACTGGAATGGCATTAACCAAAGAACTAAATGTTTAATAAATGTCTGATTTTGTTGACAGCCCAATCATAGTTAAAGCAGCATGGTCTCAATAGAAATGGCAAAACCCTCTTTTTGCTTCCAGTGTGTTTCCATCCTCGCTAAAAACATCAAACCCAACATCTGTTGCTGGATTGTTTTGGACTCTCAAATTTGGAACCTTAGTTAAAACTGCCTCCACCTTCTCCAGCTTTAGAAAGCTGCTTCCCATTGTTGTTAAAATATAAAATATCTAAAACTGAAAATACACACTTTAAACAGAACCGTCTACCTACACTGGATAGTAGTAAATTTACTTTTTACTAAGTATTTTCTAAGGGTGCGCCGATTGCAGTTTTCTGACCAATCACAGATCTTTAAAAAGTCTGACCTGCCAATTCTGATTTTGGATGATACCAATTTAAAATAAAACTGACCAAATTCAATGTTCCAATCTTATTTTATTGAAAAACATTGAGCATTACCCTTGAAACAACACAAACTTGTTTTAACTGGACATTAGGTAGTGCTCACAACAGAGCAAAAGTGGACAGTGGCTGATTTTCAGGCCTTTGAAGAGGTAGATGAGAAGCCGATCTTTTCTATCAATCTTATCYAAGTATGAGCTGATCTCCGACCGCCCAAAATTAAGGAAACTGGTGCCAACGGTTTTATGCAGAGTTTAGTATTGTTTAACCAAGCAAGATGGCAATATATTTTATATTAACTCCTCTCTTGCCTCCCCACCTGCCCCCTCCTCTCTGCAGGTCCACCTATCATCACAGCAGAAGCCACGCAGCATGCCGTCAAGCACTCCAAGGGCAAGCTGGAGTGTCGGGTGGGAAGCAGCCCCCCACCTGAGAAGATTGTAAGCAAATCTCCTATTTAGTCAATAATTTGCAGAAACAAAGAAAACCCAACATTCCTCTGAGCCACGCCCAAACGAGAGCAAGAACTCGGGGGGAGGGTTTAGCCTTGACCTCAAGAGTCGGCACCTTTGCGCCGACACATTCCAGGCAGCTTATTTAAAGACGCACTTTTGACAAATTTACAGCTGTAATTGGACAGACAGGCTTGAAACGATGGCAGAGTTAGTGGAGCCGGCAGGAGGGGGGGTGGGGTCTCGCAGTTTTCAGCCAGAACCGCATTCAATTAGCGGCCCAAGAGGCATCACTCAGCTGACCCTGTTGAACTGCTGAAGATATGCTGGGCCGTGAGAGGATAATTAGGGTGTGAGGAGGAGTGAGAGACGGGTGCCCCGCTGGCCCCCCATGCTGGAGACGGCAGAAAGGAGCCTTATTTCAGCTTCCCGACCCTCCTTAGGTCTCACCTGTGGGGCAGACGTGGATGGTAGCTTAAATGTGAGCCTATGAGCCGTCAGCCATGGAGCGTCTCAGAGGTCAGCGATGTGAAAGCAGAACAGAGAGAGAGAAAAACTAGTTTCTCACTCAGCAGGAGGCAGGAAACAGAGGATAAACAGATTCAGTCTTTCACATTGCCTGGATTTCACTTCCCAGACCAGCAGCACGCTCACGATTGTTTATTCTATACAGGTGTGGACTTTTGGAGACATGAGTCTGTCCTCTGGGTCCTCCGGACGTTTCTCCGTGCAGACTGTGACCAGCGACCACGGGGTGTCGTCCTCCCTGGTGCTGTCCGAAACTCTGGCRCAGGATTTCCAGATGCGCTACAACTGCACGGCGTGGAACCGCTTCGGCACCGGCACCGCCCTGGTCACGCTGAAGGAGCAAGGTACACACCGACAGGAGGCCCGCACTAATTCTGAGCGAGGGTTTTCTACTCCTTCTTAACTAGTTATTGCCCTCGGATTGTATAGATGCTAAAGTAACTGGTTCCGTACTTTAGCACGCAACTTCATTCCATAAATACATGCTGCACMGGAGCCGGTGGTCAAAGGCAAGTTCAAATGTAAAACGTGAACTAAACAAGCATTTCTGATATTTATTTAATTTCCTCTAATTTGTCTACAACTTAAAGGGATCCCCGATTAGTTGTAACATCATGCTTTATTTGATAAACATATATTTTAACCGTAAAATAAAGACTKTAAAAATACTGTAGGCTGTTTAGTTTTGTAAATTTAAAAATATACATTTTAACACGGACGGAGCCATTTTTTTACACGCAAAGCATTCTGGGTAAATGATGAYGTGGATAGGTCCTCGGTGCGWMGSTGCTAGCGAGCTATATCCACCCTGAAGGTTAATCTTGGACAATATCTGAYGATYGACTCTTTTAAATGAAACCAGAGAGAGTTGACAGAGAGAAGGTAGAAATGACTCAGCCTGTAACTGAAAATATGGATGGAGGACAACAGAGCTGCTTCATGGAAGAAGAACCTCAGCTTAACCTGTTAGCCTTTGCGCTAGCGCTGATGCCATATTGCCTTATATGTATTAGCTTGGCGTTAGCACAACAAACTAACAAGCTAAACTGTTGTCCTCCATCCATATTTTCAGTTACAGACTGATTCGTTTCTACCTTCTCCTCTCTGTCAACGCTCTCTGGTTTCATTTAAGAGTCGATCATCAGATATTGTCCAAGATTAACCTTCAGGGTGGATATAGCTCGCTCACACCTAGGACCTATCAACGTCATCACTTACCCAGAATTCTTTGCGTGTTAATAAAATGGCCCCGTCCGTGTAATATTATTATAAAAACTAAACAGCCTACAGTATTTTTACAGTCTTTATTTTACAGTTAAAATATATGTTTATCAAATAAAGTCTAATGTTACAACTAATCGGGGATCCCTTTAAGAATCAACATGCTAACAAGTAGCATCCATATTTCCTCCTGTAAACAGCGAGCTGAATGTGACGGCCCGTCATTTTCTGTGCATGACCTCTGAAAAAGAAGAAAATTTTGTATCCACTCAATTCAAAAGGAAACAAACACATACATCCAACCTAAATCTGCTAATTAGTCTCCACTTTAAAAGCTTGCTTACACCCCGGAGAGCAAATCGACATGAATCATGGCTCCAACATGAGAGTCGTCAGCTGAGACCAAAGAGAGGATTATGACACATGTTCAGGAAGGAAATCATCCTGGAACGTTGCAAAAGATGTTGGTTGTTCCCAGTCAGTGTGTCTAAAATCTGGACCAAGTACAAAGAAAATGGGAAGGGTGGAACAGAGAAGCATAGTGCTAAACCAGTGAAGACATCAAAGTGTCAAGATAGAAAACTTCAAGCAAAACAGAACAAATGAGATTGTGTTTTGGGACTAGTTTTTGGATGTCGTTTGTTTTCTGAAGACACTTGACGATGCTGCCTACCATTTCCGAGCCCCTGAACTTACGCCATTTCCAGTGCGATCTATAAACTTCTGCTCACGTTATTAAAAGACCTGACGGTGTTTATGAACAAGGCAACAAACGGCATTCATAAATTCTGCTGAAAAAGGCGATTGTGAACGCAGCTCTGCAGTGAGCAGGCCGGCACTCACAATGCACCTGGCAATAGTAAAAAAAATAACAGCAAAAGGACTTAACTCAGCGTTTTTATTGCCTTGTCTGGAATTAAGCAGATTAAATGCAGCACTAACTCAAAYGTCTTAGGCGTGGCAGTCACAGTTGTTGGAAGTGGTTGTTAGTCTCCATAACCACTCAGTCTCCGATAAATGGCTTTTTGCTTTGACCCAGCTGAGAGTTAGTGCTTGAGCTTTGTGTGTGTGTGTGTGTGTGTTGAAAATAATTAAAAATACTCTAAATCAAGTGAGCAATAAGTTTCAATGTTGAGTCTGATTGTAGCCCTCATTTCTTGGGGCCCTCTTGACTTTTCTTAATGTAGCTTTACAGATCTACTAAATTAGACATTTTTGATCGTTTGTTCTTTCTTGGCTTAGTCATCATTTAAACACCTCTTAAAACCTCCAATTTCCCAACAGGGACCCCGCACTCGTTGGAAAATCCCTCAGTTCTATGCTCTCAACTCCTGCTTTGCAAGGCGCTACATTGAGGAAAATTGCATTACCTGCGCCCTTCCTAGTGGTTATCTTAATTATACTCTTCTAATCAATGTAATTTAATCAGCAGATGGCTACTTTAATGAATACGTTTGCCCCATAACATAGATATTGATTAGGGACAAATAAATAAAAATCAATTTGAGGAGCCCACATGTGTTTTCAGCTGAGAACCTAATCTCTATCACTGTCTTCGAGCCAAGCTCAGAAATGCAAGCCGCAACCCCATCGAGTGGTCTTAAAATTATACAGTACACTGCTTCTCTGATGCTGGTGGTAACCTTTTGCTGCTGCAGATGCCAAGAAAAAAATGAATAAAATAAAAAATAAATCTGAAGCCCTCGTAGGTAATTTACATCAACGCATCAGAGCTGGGTCTCCAGAGAAACAAGACAGCGGTATCTCCTGGAATCTCTAATTAGATTACTGTCTATTGCTTCGCTGCATGTCGGGCCTTGTTACCCTCCTTTCAGAGAGATTACAGACAATAGCCGCGCCGCAAGATGCCGAGTCGTCCGCGAAAGCATACGCCGCGAAATCYGCAAGCGGGCCGAGGCGTACGGTTCATAATATTTCAAGGCACGTTTGTGGGATTAGCGAGACAGATGACTTGGATCTCTTCATTGCTTTCGTTTTAGCTTTTGCTCATTTGTTCTGCACGTTTTTGACAAAAAAAATACTTCTCTCTCCTTTTGTTCCCTCCCCTTCTTATTGGCAATTAYCTCCCTTTCCCTCCCACTTTTCCACACTTTCTTCTATTACTGTCCCCCCCTACAGAAGCTGTGCCCATTCTGGTAATCGTGGGTGGGGCAGTGGGTGGGGGCTGTGTGCTGCTCATCTGCGTCATCACGCTGGTCTCCCTCTGCTGCAGGCACACAGGAAAAGGTGAGCTCAACGGTCAGTATGGGCAAAAAGGGGCTCAAAAGCCCATTTTTTTCCTTCTAAATCAAAGAAATACTATTTTTTATGAACTGAAGACTCAAAATGTTTTTGTGTACGATCGCAATTCTGAAAAAGTTTGAAAATTGTGTAAAATGCAATAAAATTTGGAAATCTCAAACCAGATTTTACTCACAATGGAACATAGTAAATAAACAAAATGTAAATAAGGAATTGTATCATGTTTTAGTAAAATCAAGGTAATATACACTTTTTACAGCAGCAACTTAACTCCAAAAAGATGGGAGAAGGGCAGAGAAAGGTTTTAAATTTGGTGGCAAGAATAAGAAGCAGCTGGAGAAGCAATWTGAAACAACTTAAGACAACAGGCAGTAAAAGAACTGGGTATAAAAAGAGCATTTTTAGAAAGGTTATAACTCAAAAGTAAAGACGTGCAAAAGACTCACTTGTCTAATAATAGCAAAACCCTTTCAAAATAAAGTTCCTCAAGGGAATACTGRGAAGACTTTGCATATCCTGTCATCTACAGTTCATAATATCAAACGTTTAATGAATCTGAGGAAGTAAGTGTGCTAAGATGAGGTCAAAGTTCAATATTTGAGCCCTGTGATGGTTGAACCCTCAGACTGCAACACATTTAGAAACAGGTCTGATTCTGTTCTGGACATTACTGCGTGGACTCAGGAMCACTTCCACAAATCGATGTTTGTAAACAGTCTGCTGTGCTTTCCATAAATGCAGGTTAAAGCTCTATCACGCAAAATGCTGCCATCTTATCGGACTCGAGGCTTATTTAAAACCGGAAAAACTGTTCTGTGGTCAGATGAATCAACATTCTAATTTTTTTTTGAAACCACAAATATGCTCTATGAGCTAAGAAAGAAACAGGCCATTTAGATATTTATCAGCATAGCTTGCCTCCCTGATGGTATGGGGGTACAATAGCATCATTGTGCACAGCTGACATATCTGAAAAGGCTTCATCAGTGCAGAAAATATACAGGTTTTTGAACATATGCACCCAGTTAGTGTCTTTTTTGTTTCTTAAGCTCACTTTCTTATTTTTGACACTTGATGTTTGCTATGTTCCACTGGGAATAAAATAMGGRTTTGTAGGAAGTGCAAATGATCACATTCTGCTTTAATTTACATTTTACCCAACGTCCCAACTTTTTCCGAATTGTTTCTATCAGTTCAGACGTGCGCCAGTGAATGTCAACAAAACAACCTGTTTCAAATCCCACAGGTAAAAGGTGCACACGTCTTTCCAAGAGTGACATCAGAGTTCAGATCGTTCACAGCGATCACAACGCCACGCGTGGCAACGACGACGAGGAAGACGTCAAAGAACCGATGGTAGGTCTATTTGCCTCCTCCTTTCTCTCMGCCTATCGTACGCCTCGCTGAGAAAAAGGAGAGCAGACATTAACAATGCAGCAGAACACTCAGACTTTCTTTTGTTGTGACTCGAGTGAGGTCTTGTTCAACCTTGTAACGCTTTAGAAATGCACGCTTTTTCCCCTCAGGCTCCCAACAGCAGCGAGTCTCCGGGGACATCGCGCACAGAACACAGCGACCTCTTAGAGGAGGAGGAGGACGAAAGATCGGACATCAAGGTAAAAATGGTTCAAAAAGAGAAGAAAATAGATGTTTTTTTAAACCTCTACACCAGTGGTTCTTAATCTTTTTTGACCTCAGGGCCCAATTTGTTGAACATGAAGTGGCACGAGGCCCAGTCAGACATTACCAATGTATGGATCAAAAATGATTATTATTCTAAATATTGGTTTAATTTTTATTGTATTTACATCATAACTAAACTATCATAACATAACTAAATTACAGTTTAAAAGTAAAACTCCTGTCAAATAATCACAAGACATGATTATAACAAACATTTTTATATTGTAACCTGCCCATAATTATTTGAACAAATACAAAGGTCAGTCAACGACCACTCAGGCTTATCAGCACAAATATATATATATATATATATATATATATATATAAATACACTGTATACTGTATATATACACTGTATATATATATCAAAAATTGATAATTCAAAGAATAAAATTGTAAGCCATAAAATAATTTAAAAATGTTTAACGTAAATGTTTCAAATAAAAAAAATGTAAAAATAAATTTGATAAAGTGCAAATGAAAATAGCATTTTTAAACTTTTGCAGCCAGAAGCTGCTCTTCATATTAGTGACAAACAATAACAACAGCTTTTTGACAAGTTTAAAATTTCTTTAAAATACATTCAAAATGTTTAAAACTAAACTACAAAAACGTATTTAAAGTGCAAATTAAAGTATAGCTGTATCTGCAACTGTATTTGATAATGTTTTGAACTTTTAAAATATTGCATAGTAAAAACAGAAGCTGCTCGTCATATTAGTGACAAACTTTTGTGTTTTTTGTTTAGTTGCCTTCATTTTTGCTTCTATTTTTCATTTAAAATAGGTTTCCATTCACGGCATGTTTCTGAGGTTCTTCTTCTACATATTAAAAAGTTGTCAAACATCTGAGTGGCGCACTACTGGTACTAGTGGTGAGAAAGTGTATTGCACCTTATTCAAAATCAATGCGGTCCCACGGCCCTCTGCGGCCCAAAGTTAAAAACTGTTGTTCTTTTGAGGCCCTCAAGGTGGCGCTCGCAGCCCAATTCCATGGGTTAAGAATCTCTGCTCTACACATTAAATGCTGAACAGATTTAAAATAAAGATTGATTTCTTTGTCTCCTTTACAGGATCCAACCAATGGGTACTACAATGTCCGTGGCCACGATGACCGTCACATCCGCAACAGTGGGTTCTCAGAGTATGTGCCCAACACTCGGCCGGTCTACACTCCRTCGCAGCTGCCCTCCCCCAGCCCCGTGTACGGACAGCAGGGCACGCAGCCTCGRATCTACGAGTTCAACCACCGCTACGCCACCAACACGGTCAGCAGATCCTCGTATGAGCAGCAGCAAGCGGCCCAGCAGCAACCCGCGCAACCAGCCAGCATATACCCTACCGATCCCCTCTACAGTGGCTCGGCGTACCTGCCCGCTACCTACGGCCGTGCCTTCACTAGCTACGTCAAGCCCGCGTCCTACGAGAAGGTGGACGCGTACGACCAATCGGAYCAAGCCAGCAAAGTGTCCAGCTCGTCTCGCTTCTCTTACGCCTCCTCACAAGTGTCCTCCCAGCAGTCCGACTACGGCCGGCCCTCGCAACGCATGCAAACTCATGTCTGATCCGAAAAAAACGTTAAAACAAAAAATCAAAAAGGAAGCGTTACGCACTCTGCGCTCAGGCGTGGCTGAACTTACATTAACAGATTTTGTTTACCGACAGTCCTGCAAGGATGGATTTGAACAGATTATGCAGGAAGTTGGGATTTTCTAGAACCGTCCTATAATGGAAGCTGGTTTTGGGAAAACTCCTGAAATGGAAAAACCCAGCAGACTAGGCTTGACTCCCCAGCTCCGACCTGCAGAGATGTTCTCCGAGTGCAACAGGGAGAATTTGGGTGTCTTACAGAGCGAAGACGACCTTTTCTTCTGCATTCCAGCGTTTACTTTAACACTCAATGTGGGAAAAGAATGACCTCTTAGTTACACTGAAAGAAAATACCACAAGCTAAGATGTATTTGAGGAAAAGAGAAAAAAAACTACTCGAAGAGCCTTTTGTTGTCTTTCATTTGGTGTCTTGTTGGCATGCGAAAGGAATTCTAAGCACATTTGTGTCCGTCATCAACAAAAAGACTGAGTTATTCACCGAAAACTATTCTGCACAAGAGGCTGGTTGCATCGACCAACAAGTGCTGCAGGAACCTTACCGTACAAAGAGGAGGGAAAAACATCAGAACTGAGCTGTATTCACAGAGCATCTTGTGATAATGATCAGTGTGTGTTTTGGATACAGAAGAGGTGCTTTCAAGTGGGTAAAAACAAAGGAGAATGTGTTTTTCAGCCTTTGATAATTTTACATCATGCTGGACAGACGAAATTAGGGCCAAGAGATTCCAAAGATGGTAACGACGGTGTGGGGAAGTGAAAAAAAAAAAGAGAGAAAACAACTGTTGTGCTACCCTGTGTGTTGTTTCCTGATTGTAAAATGAAAATTTTTAACAGAACAATCAAATGTGGCATCGTTGGGAGGGGTGGGAAGGGGAACCGTTGGCAATCTTGAACTTAACGTAAACTTGAGGTGGGCGTTTGAGGCAGTTCTAATGTGGACCATGCACTCTCTAAAGTTTTACAACTCAATCAAATTGTCTCAATGTTTACAAGAAACAGTACTACCCCCAAAAAAACACTGAGTACCTGTACAAATGGCTAAGCCCATAAATTTCTCTCTGTTGCATGCAAACGGTGTGTCTCGTGACAAATTTTTCTCAGCGTTTTTTTCGTTCCATCTCCGATTTTGCATTTGAGTTGTTGGGGGGTTTTTTGCAGCCCGATCCATTCCATGAGCTGGATATTTTAGTACGGATGACTTGTACTGCCATTTGTCTATTTCTACGAGCTAGTGCCAGGGCAGCCTAAACGAGAAGACGAACGCCGTTGGAGGGAGGTGTCAAAAACATCATCGCTTTTGTCTTTTTATTTTTATATTTTCTACAAGCCTTAAAAGTACAGCGTGTACGCTGCTCTATTGTAAAGTATCTTTATATACATATCTGTATCTACTTTATTTGACTCCACAGATGTTCGTGTCGAAGTTGTTTGTCAGTCATCGAACGCAGGCATTACGYTTTTTCTTTTCCGGAACATGACTAATTGCCATTTGTTTGTTCATTCTTATGATTATGTATTAAGAATTTTATTTGCTAGAAAGGAGCCATTGTTGCTTGTACCTTTGTACACATATTTATATTTAAATAAAACCCATTTCCGATAAAAGCTGTTTGCCTAGCATTTCTTGATGTAATCCCACAGTTCTGGACCACACGAGGCACTGGCACTCGGCGCAGATACAGCAAAGAAYGGCGGCCCTTCGGTGGCCCCCATGTGGTTTGCCAGATGGTGGTCCACTCAGCGCCAAGCAAATCAAACCACAACAGGGCCAGTTGTGGAATGCCATCTTGAAAACAGTGCCATCATTKCCGGACCTGGCCCACRTCTGTCTAACATGTAGGATGTGTGTCAACTACTCACTTTCATTGAGAAATAACAGTAATTTTTGGTCAAATCTTAAAAAAAATTATATACATATAGGGTGCAACAATACATGTACCCGTATCAAACTGTTCAATACAGTGCTTTAGGTTCAATACACACTTGTATCGAACAATCCAGATTTTTAAAATTTACTTTATCAACTTGTCTTCTGACGATGCTCTGTGTTGAAGGATCAGTGGATCTGTGTTCGACTACTCCACCTAGGCTACAATGTTGAGTGCAGATCCACTAAGAAACTTGCTGTTTCAGCAACATTTAATTTAAAAACTGGACCTTTGAGGTTAAACAAATGTTCATAATTTAAATAAATTACAAGTTAAAAAGGGCATGGACATTTCTCTTTTTTGTATCGAAAAAATATGGAACCGTGAGATTTAAGTATTGAACCGAATCGTGAATTTTCCAAACAAACAAGCATGCACAAACACACACACAAACACACACACAAACACGTTCTTCAAGATCCCAGGCAGTATTTTGGGATCTGTTGTAGTATGTGTTGGGAATGACTTTCAGCTACCATATTAGCTCAATTTCTGTAAAACTTGTGGTCAATTTTGTTTGCCAAGATTGGTTAGCAGTGGCAGCCATATTGAATTGGGAAAACATTAATTCATTTTTTGCAAAGAGTTTRAATATCTCAGGGTTTTGTTCACAAGTGACAGAAGAACTGATAGGGAGATAGACAGATTGGTGTGGTTTCTGTACCAGTCTCTTGTAGTGAAGAGGAAAACCCAGGACATGCTCCACAGCAACCAAATCTTGGATTTGTCCTGSAGGAGCTGGAAGAGGTCGCTGGGGAAAGAGATGTCTAGGATGCCCTGCTCAAACCGCTGCCCCAACAACCCAACTCTGCAACAAACAGAATGAAAGGAAACACTGAGTAGTTAGGTGTACTAATGATCTTTCTCTAAAAGTTTGATTCAAATCCATTTAGTAATTCATCTGATATTAAGCTAACATGACAGAAAATAAAGAGACATGTACACAGACAGGAAATAACATTACCCACCTTAGTTGCAGTTGACTCGGTAAGGTTATCAGTCACACACACACACACACACACACACACACACACACACAC